TGTGCTTGAAACTGGTCCCTGGTACAAAAAAGGTTGGGGACCACTGGTTTAGAGGCTTCAAGGACTAGATGTGGAAAAACCTCATTCCGGTGAGATGGAATGGCAGTTGGTGGAGACACTTTCTCATCCCAGCACAGTTCACCCATATTGCAAATCAGCTTCTGCACGAGAGGGAAATCATTTCCATTGCAACCTAAGGCCTCTCCTCCCTTTCTTGTCCTGTAGCTCCTGCTACAGTGGCAGGTGGAAGTTGTGGCCAAGAGATGCATTACTCTTGGAATGAGATGAATTAGGTATGTTCATTTAGGCTCTTGTTACCTGTTGGTTGCATTTTTGCAGTTCCTTGTACATGAACTGCCTTTGAAGATACCTTTAAAACTTCATGTGGCACAAAATGCATCTGCCTGCTTGAAGGTGAGACCCATTTCAACCGGATTATATTATTGTAGCAACTTTATGGCTGCCACTTTGTTGGCAGATACAACTCAAGATACTGGATATTATCTATAAAACTATATATGATTTGAATCTTGGGTATTTTTGAGACATGTATCCATATAGAATGTGCCTGCCTAATATAGACAGCAGAAAGGGCAGGCTGCATGTCCTGTCCCCACTCATTGGGAGATAGATGGAATGGAGGCCTCTTAGATAAACTCTAATACATTGTTAGTACAATACTATTAATATAGAGAGTATATAATCATGTGATGAATGATTTTTTTTTTTTACCTCCTGAATTGGAAACAAAGATTATTGTAATTCCTAACCCCTATAAAATTTTGCAACAAATTTTTACTTCTCTTTCAAAGGTTTTAAATTTTTATTCAACTAATTGGTAAATTGGTTAATTTAGATGTCATTTCTTATCATTTTTGTAAATTAAAAACTTATGGACCTAATCTATTAACCATCAATAACATTACTTCTTTGAATTCATATAAAATATAATTAACAAGGGATACAAATTAGATCTGTCTTTTGTCATTTTTTTCTTTTCTCTTTGTTGTGGAATAATTAATAATAGCTACAAGAAATATTCACAAAATTAAAAGTTTAGAAGTAAGGAGAGAAAAATATTTGTTGATTTTTATCTCTAGGGCGTATGAGTCTTGGGATATCCAAGCCACCTCAAGCAGTTTTTGGACTAACAAAATATTAAGAAGTAAAGTAAGGCCTGTAAAGTTTTGATCCACAGTCTGTAATACTGTCAGTTTCAGATAGGCTGCAGAACCGGAAATTCTATTGGCATAGAATTATCAGGCAATAATAAAAATATTATTGGACTGTAATTAGATAGAAAATATTAATATTAATGGACTGTAATTAGCAAATCTAGCTGTGTTTCGATTGGTTTAAACTGCAGGCCTAGTTTATTTTAAAAGATTTGTGATACTGGTAAGTTTTGATATTGCTTAGAGTTGCTTAGACAACAATATGAATGGCATATAAATGAAATAAATACGACTATCTCAAGTTCATTTACACTATTCCAGAATGTGGTTATGCTAAAAAATTGGTCAGAATGGTTGTATTTTTTAAACTGTTACAAGTCATAAATGCAGTTGCTAAATTAACAAAAAAAATAAAAAAAAAATCATTGCTTTGTAAGCAATTAATTTAAATAATTAAATTGGTTTAACAAAGCAACAAAACAGTTTTTTAGAACACGGGCATAGCAATTACAAAATATTTTCCACTGTCACAACTACTATGGTTTTGGAATTTATGCAATATCTTTCTTTGAATTAGAAGCTTAATCCAGCATGGTGTTTTAATATAGAATGTCTGTGCTAATTTGAACATGTCATAGTCATGAACTCAGTTTATGCTTGGATCTTTGTGCCAGCAGGCATGACTCTGTATTTTGTTCAGTATTGATTTCTGGCTTGTGTCTTCTTAATATATATTTTATATGCTTCCCCTATACTAATTCTGTGTGTGGAAAAAACTGCTTAAAAGAATTCATTTACATTTTCATTTGCATCTAGGTATGTTTTGATAGTTAGCTATGCAGATTCTATGAAATAACGTCTACGTTTAATAAGCATTTATGCAGCTGCATACTGTTCCAGTCAACATTTCCTGTCTTTGAATATAATCAAATAAAAAATTAGGTTTTATAGGAATTTATAGTATAAAATTGGTTAACATATTCTAATTGAAGCTCTAGAGTTTGGATGATATAATTTTAACAAGAACAACTAGGAGCAAATAGCTGTATTCAAGGGAATCTGTTGATGTTCTTCTGTTTTTGAAAAATGTTCATATATTTTGTTTAAATTTCTTACATTTTAGTGTTCCATCTGTGTTAAAAACTGAAATTGCATGACTTTCTAAAATAGAACATACTTTTGTAATCTTTTTGTTCCTTTCATTTCAGATTGAAAATGCTGCTGATGAACTTCGAGTGCTTTGTATAATACAAGATACTACCAATGCTAAGACAGTGAATGAGCGCATCACATTGAATTTGCCAGCTTCCACACCAGTAAAAAAGCTATTTGAAGATATAGCCTCCAAAGTGGGCTATGTTAATGGAACATTTGATTTAATTTGGGGAAATGGAGTCAATGTTGCTAATACGGTAAAAACAAATACCTACTAGTTTTAGGCATTTTAATAGAATACTTTTAAATGGCTGATGTACAATATTTTTGTTCGTTATTGTGGTATTTCTCATATTAGCACTTGTTTTCCCTTAATAATCCTTTTTTTTGTTCAAGATTGTCTTCTTTTATTTTCTCTGCTTGGATGTGATGTGGAAAGTTTTTCATAAAGTAATATATAAAAAATAACATTAATAGCATTAATGTGATTATAAACACAACTAATGTTTAATAATCCTGTAGTAGTTTGGGGTGAAGAAACAAACGGTGCTGTTCGTTAGATTTTTTTTTTTAAATCAAGACATTAAAAATAGTCAAACTATTGAAAACATCTGTCTTTTAAAATGAGTTTCTGCCAATTATCTTCTTAAATTCAGCTGTTGCATACCCTGAGTTAAATCTATCTATAATATAAAGCCTGCAACATCTTTTATGAACTTTAAAAAAAATAAAGATTTATTTATTCATTAATTCATTTTTATCTTTCTGTTTTTAATAAAATAAAATCAATGTACATAGTTAAAGCATACAATAATTAGAAATTGATGAGTTAAATGCTCTGGCCTGTAGTTTTATTCTTTTACCTTCTCATTAAAGGTCTTAGATATACTTAGATATATCAATGTACATAGTTAAAGCATACAATAATTAGAAATTGATGAGTTAAATGCTCTGCCCTGTAGTTTTATTCTTTTACCTTCTCATTAAAGGCCTTAGATATACTTCACTTTTTATGGTAATACCTGTGAAATTTATTTTTAGTATTTAAATTTCAGTATGTTAGCACTTAGGTCATTAGGAGATTTATTAAATAATCATTATAAATTAAATGGCAGGCAAGCATAAATTGTAATAAATGTTTAAGTTATTAAATTTTGGCAGAATCTTGAGAAATATGAATTTTCTTTTTATCTGTCTCATTTATGCTTAACATAAAATGTGTTAATTGACAGTGATATTTTAGTATATTTATATTACTCCTATAGGGTTAAAGGAAATATGCAGCTATTCTTCTTACGCCTGAATTTGGAAAATGTATAATAACAATTCTATTAAATAAACATTTTTATTTGATTTACTGTAGACACCACTGGATTATTTGAGTGATAAATCTGTTGTTGATGCTGGTTTTGAGCCTGGGAAAAAGAATTTTCTGCATTTGACAGATAAAGATGGAGAACAACCTCAAGTGGTATTGGTAACGACATATTAATTTGCTGCTTCTGTGTTTTATCACATGAAGATTTTTTGTTCTGAGTGTTCTAATGCTTATCTTTGATTTTCATAGTCACTAAGTGAATCTTTTCTAAGAAACAAAACCAGTCTGATTTTCAAACATGCACTGCAGAGCACACATTTCTAATACAGTTGGAACAGCATAACGTGATTTCAGATTGAACTCATTAAATAGGAGCTGCTTGTTCTGATCTTGAAACAGAAGTTCCCAGGGTTGAGTTATTCAAGAACTGCAATGTTTTGCACACTTTGGCTATGTACTGCATTTTAGGTAGAACCTAAAGAGCTAGATCAAGAATGTGCAATTCTGTTGGTACTCTCATGGTATCTATTTTGGCTCTTGAAATATTAAGCCTAATCATTCTATTTAAAAAATACCAAAATATTTTATCTCATGTGTTAGGAGTTCTACAGATAGGAAAAGTAGCGTAGGCACTTCTTGCAATCCTTACTTAGATTAACTCTACGCTCAGTTCCCCATCTGCTTCTGTAACTCATTTCCTTTTTTTGTTTGTGTCTTTGTTTGAAACTATCTGTAATGCCAAGGATAGGATTCCTAATGTGAAATGTCTTGTGAGAACATGGACTTTCTTTAATAGGCTTTTTTTCATTAGTTAATTATAAACTTGAAAGATACATTAATAGATGTACCCAATGTTTTAGGAGGAGTCTGGTGGATCAGATGACCACAATCCTGATAGATTTATAGGTCCTCTACCAAGAGAAGGTTCAGTTGGCTGTTCCAGTGATTACGTCAGTCAGAATTACTCTTATTCATCAATTTTGAGCAAATCAGAAACAGGTATGGAGATGTCTTTTGTCCTTTTCCACTGGATATAGCAATACTATAATACTATCTTAAAACAACTTATAATATTGTGTTAGAACAATTTAAGTATAGGAGAACAGGTTGTAAATCCCACTCTTCGTGTAATATTTTGAATGAGGAATAAGGGTTGCAGAACTGCTGGTACTATAGTTGCTGTCAAGTTTCAACTCGTAAAGCATTCCTATGCTTGTTTTTGAGTTGCCATAAGTGGGGGGAGCCTGAAGGAGCAGTACTCCTTATGCAGATGCATAAGGACAAGTGACAGAACAAGTCCTAGGCAGAGATGTGGTTTATTTTTTTCCACCTATAGATTGTTACAGGTAATCTTTGATTTAATGACCATTTAAAGCTATGATAGGCTTTTAAAAAGTTAATATCTACTCGCCACTACATCATCACCACCCCATAATTACATAATTGCATTTGGGTGCTGAACAACCAACAACTAATTGCTGTGCTCAAAAGTCATATGACCATGATTTGCAATTTTCCAGTTTCCAGCATTATTTGCTGATTGGATTTGCTTAACAACCTTGTGATTTGCTTTATGATCACTGACTTTTACCTCTAAAAATCTAATCCTTATTGTAACTACTAGGAATTTTTTATTATTAAAGAGGAAAAACCCCTCATTCCAGTAGTGGGATTCAATTTTTTTTACTACTGGTTCTGTGGGCGTGGCTTGGTGGGCGTGGCAGGGGAAGGATACTGTAAAATCTCCAGTCAGAAGTGGTATTTGCTGGTTTTCCGAACTATTTCTGCTACTGGTTCTCCAGAACTGGTCAGAACCTGCTGAATACCACCACTGCCTCACTCTTAGTCATAGGAAAAGCTTTCATTTTGTTCCATTTAATGAAATACAGATGTTTATTTCTGATAAGAACAATTGAGCACAAAATTATTTTTCAATATTTAACTAATAGAGTAATCATTCTTACTTAGAAGCAATCCATTTTCATACTCCCCTATGCAGTTCACCTTTACTGTGGTGAAAATCTAATAATTAGATTCTAATAACTAATCCCCTAAAATGCAATCATACTAGAAGGAAATGAAATTTGCTAGTATGTAGTATTTTTTCTAAATTGTTGTTTGCAGGGCAAATAAAGATAAGTAATTAAATAGCATTGAAGTGATACGTCGCACTGCTAAATTACAAAGTGTTTAATATGTTATGCTAACCGAATATTGTAGTTGATTCAGAAGTTCTGTTTAAGCCATGTTTTTACTCCTGATATGTACCGTATTTTTCGGACTATAACACAGTGAAGTATAAGAGGGCCCTAGCTTTGGGGGAGGAAAACAAGAAAAAAAATCTGTCTCTGCCTCCCAGCAATTTGCCTCCTTGCAGCAAACAGCAAACAGCCTGATCAGCTTCAGTACAGCCTGATTTAGCACAAGCAGCTGATTGTTGGTTGGATCTACCTCCTGACGATCAGCTGTTTCAGGCTGCAGGGATCGCCTATTGCCACCTCCACGCGTCCCATTTTTGTCCTGTTCCAGGCAGCGGGGATCAGAACAGGCTGAAAATGGGGTGCGTGGAGGTGGCAATAGGCGATGGCGATCCCTGCAGCCTGAAACAGCTGATAGTTGGGAGGCAGATCCAACCTACAACCAGCTGTTTGTGCTAAATCAGGCCGTGCTGAAGCTGACCAAGCTGTTTGCTGTTTGTTGCAAGGAGGCAAATTGCTGGGAGGCAGAGGCCGAAGGGTGGGGTCCGTCGGGTGGGCTTTGGCAACATTTGCTGTATAAGACACACAGACATTTCCACCCACTGTTGGGGGCGGGGAAAAGTGCTTCTTATATACCGAAAAATATGATATTTCAGAATTCTGAAGAAATGTATTTTTTGACTATCCAATAAAACTTTAAAGTACTGTTGTTCTGAGTAGATATTATTAGCAAAAATTTTGATTTTGAAAATCTGCAATAAAATTATAATAAATATGTTCAATGACGTAATATTAATTCTGAAATCTTAGTCTTATTTTTTTAAGATGAGCATTATTACTAATGTTATACTATTTTTTAGGATATGTGGGTCTAGTAAATCAGGCAATGACCTGTTATTTGAACAGTCTTCTACAAACACTTTATATGACTCCTGAATTTAGAAATGCATTATATAGGTAAGTAGATTTCATTAATTTTGCTATTGCCTTTTCTTGGGTGATGAAAATCTTGTTAAACACTTGAGAAACGGCTGCAATTAACAAATTATTTCACCTAATTACATAATTGTTTACAATCAATCAGTGTTCTAATGTTGACTATTGTTGTTGAGAATAGCTTCATAGATATACTTCTGAACTTAATCAATACTCTCTAAAGCAAGGTATGACATAATCATCATTTAAAGGCAAGGATTTCCTGGAACATACTTGTAAAAGTATTTGATATGTCATTAGTTGTCAAACAGATGCAGTGATTGATAGACTTCCTCTGCAGTCTTTTTTCCCCCTTAAGCTTAAATGTGGATTCATAGAGTTTAGAATTCAGAGAAATAGTAAAAATGGTTCATAACAAATAATTATAAAAACTAAAATCTTGGTTGTTATAAAAGGATTTTAAAGGACTATCTACAGTCCTATTGTAAATATTTCCTCTAAGTACAATTAAAATTGGGATAGGTTCTTACTTGTTATCCACTATATGGTTGTGTAATTATATTTTGGAATATAAGTATGGGGGTATGTCTATGGAGTTTCTCTGTCATCCAGGCCATGGCTGTCCTAAAGGTACTTTTTCAAAAGGCTACTGTTTTTCCAAAATTGTTTTTGAAAAAGCACCTTTGGGAATGTAGATATTATTAGCTTTTGCAAGATTATCTCTTAAGAGTTCAGTATGATTTGATGAATAGTATTGTCATAGTATTTATACTAGAAAATGTTCTGGTTATGGAATACTTGAATATTCAAGCATGGGAGTTATCTCTTCTAAAAAGTTTTAATATCAAGCTGTAAAGATCATATTTAGCTTTTTTTTTCCAAATTGTATCTTGAAGAAATATTTCCATATCAACTTTCCTTTCAGATATCGCTTTTTTACTACAAATGAATGTTAGGAACATTTCATTTTCAGCAGGGTGCTCTAAAATAATTTATTTTGTCTGTTGGTACTAATGTTTGTTTGTTTGTTTTTTAATAGATGGGAATTTGAAGACTCTGAAGAAGATCCAGTGACAAGCATCCCTTACCAACTTCAAAGATTGTTTGTTTTATTGCAGACCAGCAAAAAGAGAGCAATTGAAACTACAGATGTTACACGAAGCTTTGGATGGGATAGTAGTGAAGGTAATGATAATTAAATATTTGGTTAAATTATAATTATATTAGGACATATATTGTCTGATATTGTCTGTGTCCTGAATATCAGTTATGTACTTGATCAGGATATGAATGACTTTTACTTGGTCATATATTGAACAATCCCTTAGCATTCCTGTATAACTGGAGAAAGAAAAAAGCCACAGTTACGACATGCTGTCATATGACAGCATGTCGTAACTGTGGCTTTTTTCTTTAATGGCTTTTTTCAATTAATGGCATTCAAAAAGTAAGGATATCAGTAGGTAAGGATATCAGTAGGCTAAAATTGGCTTCTGCATTTATACTTATTTACATAGCTGTTGAGAATTTACTAATTTAATAAAGTTTGATAATCTATTCTTATTACAAAGCATTAACCAAAATTCACAGTTCATGATAACAGAACAATAAAAGTATAGGAAGATAATTTACAGTTCAATATTAGAAAAAAATTACTTGATAGTAAGAATTGTCTAAGAATAAACCAATTTGTCTATTACGATGGTGGACTTTTATTTTCTCCAAGCAGTTTGGAAGACATTTCTTTGAAGGTGGTTTAATGTGTTTTCCTGCACTAAGCAGAACTGATGGCCTAATTTATTGGTTCTATTATTTAGTTTACTTAAAGTTCAATATATCATGAAAAAGATGTTATACTACAGTTATGAATCCCTGTATTTTTTTTTTAAATGTTTGGAAATAATTGTGAGGACGGGCAAAATGAGAAAGGTAGAGAACGTTCAGTTCTAAAACTGGCAGTAAAATAAATTTAATGTAATGTGCTTTTGTAACTGGGCTAACGAATTGCTGTGATGGGATGTATGCCTGTTTTAATTAAATAAGATCACTTTTGTTTTATAATAGCATGGCAGCAGCATGATGTGCAGGAACTCTGTAGAGTTATGTTTGATGCTTTGGAACAAAAATGGAAACAAACGGAGCAGGTATAATATTTTTGGGGTGGTTCTTGTGGTAACGAGATAACAAGAAATAACAAATAATTATAACAGTTAATAAAACAATATTATACTTATCCTAGATTTAAAGGCTAGTTTTAAACATTGGGATGAAATGGAAAAATTGTGCATTGTTTATACAGAACCGTTGAATTTGAGGAATTCATTCTGTTTGCATTTTATATGAAATGTCATTATTTTGCAATATAATACTCTGGGAAGCATCTTTAAGTGGATTGTAGTCTCTTTCCATCAAGCAAGAGTTATGTGATCCTTCTAGAATTTGTATCTTACTTCATTTC